CTGTGCCAGTCATTGTGTCCAACTTTAGCCGCATCTACCACCAGAACCAGCGGGCTGACAAGCGCCGAGCACAGCAGGTAACCACATTTCCCATCTGAGCACCTCCTACTGTCCACACCCCAAGCCAGTCTACTTTGGGGCTTACCCCCTGACCCTTTATCTCCTCTCTCTGCAGAAGGTGCGCTTGGCAAGGATCCGATTGGCAAAGAGTGGTACCACTAATGCCTTCCTGCAGTACAAGCAGAATGGGGGCCTTGAGGTGGGTTGGGGTCTGGACTGGGGTTAGGGTCAGCCATGACAGTGAGAGGAAGGTGCTGCCCTTATCGCTCTGCTCCATCCACTCCAGGACAGCGGCAGTGGCGAGGAACAGGCTCTGTGTGTCAGGAACCGTTCTGCCTTCGAACAGCAACATCACCACTTGCTGCACTGTCTGGAGAAGACAACGGTAAGGCCTAATGTGAGGTGGTATAGCAGAATATAGGGGGTCCCTCTGTGCCCATGCCAGCTCTCTCCCTTGGATGGGAGGCTCACTACAAATTGTGGAAATCACACAGAGCTTCCTGAAAGAGGCTACAGGAGAGCCAAGCCTTGAAGGATGGGCAAGGGAAGGGAAGAGAGAGCAATTTCCAGAAAGGAGAAAACAGCCTGAGCAAAGGCTTGAGGGTGAGATCAGCTCCCCTGGGATGCCCCGTGACTCTGCCTCCCTTCTGCCCACAGTGCCATGAGTTCACAGATGAGCTTACCTTCAGTGAAGCCCTGGGAGCTGTCTCGCTGGGTGGCCGCACCAGCCGCAGCACCTCTGTGTCTTCCCAGCCAACGGGGCCCGGCAGCCTGCTGTCTTCTTGCTGCCCTCGCAGGGCCAAACGCCGTGCCATCCGCCTTGCCAACTCCACTGCCTCAGTCAGCCGTGGCAGCATGCAGGAGCTGGACATGCTGGCAGGGCTGCACAGGAGCCCTGCCCCTCAGAGGTAAGCAGCCCTCCTACCTGCAAGCCATACCTGGGGAAGCTCAGAGCTTGCACCAGTGGTTTTGAGATTTCATGATTCCAGGCCTAGCAAGTTACGCTTGAACCCAAACCCCTCCATGCTAGGAGCTTGGGTTTATCTTGTCTGGAACTCATTCTTCATCTATTTTTTTGTTCTGTTTTGAGACAGAGTCTCACTGTCACCCAGACTGGAATGCAATGGTGTGATCTCAGCTGCAGCTTCCACCTCCTGGGTTCAAGTGATTCTCTCACCTTAGTCTCCCAAGTAGCCAGGATTACAGGCATGTGCCACCATGCCTGGCTAATTTTTTGTATTTAGTAGAGATGGGGTTTTGCCATGTTGGTCAGGCTGGTCTTGAATTCCTGATCTCAGGTGATCCACCCGCCTTGGCCTCCCAAAGTGCTGGGATTACAGGTATAAGCCATCGTGCCCAGCCTAAGATAACTTTTTAAGAGACTTCCATCTTCTCCACCCTTGTCCACAGCCGCTCAAGCCTCAATGCCAAGCCCCATGACAGCCTTGACCGGAACTGTGACAGCCGGGACTTCGTGGCTGCCATTATCAGTATCCCTACCCCTCCTGCCAACACCCCAGATGAGAGCCAACTTTCCTCCCCTGGCGGTGGCGGCAGGGCCAGCAGCACCCTCAGGAACTCCAGCCTGGGTACCCCTTGCCTCTTCCCCGAAACTGTCAAGATCTCATCCCTGTGAGGGGTAGACCTGCCCATTCAGAGGGCCCTCTTCATTTCTGGGGACTTCTTTCCAAAGCCATATTTTTGGGAGGCAGAGAGGTGCAGGCTTGGGGACCCCTTCTGCCCCCCACCGAGAACTATGCAATGGAGTTTTGTGAAATGGTCCACATGGTGGGGAAGTAGCAAGGGAATGGGAAACTTCCCCCCATCTCAGACATTTTTCCTGGTGGTAACTGAAGCACTGGGCTTCCACAGGCCCCTGGCCTCCTTGTCCCAGCACACTGGGAATGGCCCCTCTCTCCCAGCTGGACTCCTGCATGCTCCTCCCCCTCAGGCTCTCAGATGAAGGTAAAGCTTTGATCCAACATCTGAGCTCTGGCCTAAGAAGGAGAGTTGAGATTTCCTTCTCCCTCCAGCTGGGATATGGAGATTTGGAGGTTCAGAGAAGAGAACCCTCACCTCTGATCTGGCCTCTAAGTGAGGTCCTCACCCTCCATCTAGCCCAACAATTCCCAAATTCCGAAGCTTGGAATGCAAACACAGGCTTCATGGGCTGTGGCCTCTGCAGTGACCTGCCATCCCCAGGCCTTGTCTGAGGGGTCAGGCTGCCTCTCCCAACACACACTCAGATAGCACAAACTTCACCATCCCCTTCCCTGGCTGCTGGAAATGGGACCCCGCAACCCTATCCTCTGCTGGGCCCACAGCAAACTCTAGCAATAGCAGCTGCTGCCGTGTCATTATGCAAAGCCTCTGACCAGTTTGCTGCAGCATTTACATCTGCCCTAATCAGGGGGCCACCTCTAACTACTCTTCCTCCTCTCTTCTCCTCTGGTTTGCTTCCTTCCTGGGTTGGGCTGGAGTCTGGACTGGCTGAGATAAGAGCCTGGCAGCCAGCAAGAGCTGGGCGGTGTCTGGAGATCATGGGCTGATTCCATGTTCTTGGGCAAGAGTCCAGAAGCATCAGGGACTCAGGCCTGGGATGTTCCTGAACTTGGGAGTTATAGGAGACAGGAGGAACTTCTTGATCTCCTCCTCCTCCTTTACAATTCCTTTTCACATACTCCTTTCTTCTCCCTCAAGTCACCTTCCAGAACTCTGCTCTCAGGCTGAAATCTGGCATCATCTCAGGTTCCCTGTCCCCAGCACTGTCCCCATGGAGCTGGCGGCTGACAAAGATGTAGTTTCCATCAGTCAATAAAACCTGAGAGGAGAGATGAGGACTGACTATCTCCTGGCTCTGTGGGTTTGGGGGCTGGGTTGGGCTGGAGGGGTTGAAAACACTCTGATTTTGATCCCTTTTAGCTAGGAGAAGGGCTGGTATGGGTCAAGGTATGGGAGATGGATGGTTGTTGATATATTCTGAAAGATGGGGATCCAGGAGTAATGAAAGAACGTGGTTTGAAGAGTCCAGCTACAGTCAGTGAGGAAGGCCAGGGGGTCCTGAGGCATTCCTCCTTGGATATCATCTGCTCCAGTCTCCTCATTCACAGATGGGGAAACAGACCCAGAGAAACACATAAGTTGGTTAGAGGAGACTTAAACCCAGGCTTCCTGACAGCAAACAACTCTGGGAATTTAACCCTAATAAAAGCATCTCTTGGTTTGGTAAATTTCCCTTCCTTGCGGACACCCCCTACATTCTCTCTTCTTGGCTACTGGCTATACCAGGCTAGTGTGTGGCTGAGTTCTGTAGAGCACTGAGCAGAGACCATGGATTCAGGTTGACCTGGGTTCCAATCCCTGGGTGAGAGAATCATTTACCTTCTCTTGCCTCAGGTTGCTAATCTGTGAAACAGGGATAATATATTTAGTTACCAAATATTTATTAACTTCCATCACATGCCAGCCCTAGGAATACAAAGATGGGCAAAGTAGACATTGTCTCTGTTGTAGAGTTGAGCATGGAAGGCAGACAATTAAGTCATTACAACATGGTGTGGCAGAACTAAGATCCATGTGTTATAGAAGCATGCAGATGGCAGGAGAACCTAACCTGGCCAACACACAAGGAATGAGTTGGACTTAGCCAGGCAGCAAAGGAAAGGGTGCAATGTTCTAGGCAGAGGGAACAGCATGTGCAATGACCTGGAGGTTAGAGAGTGAGCTCAGGCCTTCGGGGAACTGAAAGTAGTTCAGTCCAGCTAGAGAGGAGAGTGCGAGCCTGTGAGGAGAGGAAGGATGGAGAGGTAGGCCAGATAACAAAAGGCTTTGGAAGCTATGATGCAAATTTTGAACTTCATCCTAAGGATAGTGGGGACCTCTAAAGGCTTTTAAACAGAAAAGTCATAACGAAGTTTGTTTCAGAGGGATCATTCTGTCTGTGAAGAGTGGATATAAACAGTCCTGGAAGGAAGAAAAGTAGGGAGGAGGCTTTCATAGTAGTCCAGGTGGTAGGTGACAGTGGCTTGGACCAGAGTAGTGGCAGTAGAATTGGAGAATCTAGAGATTTGGGAGGTAGAATTGGCAGGACTTGGGATTGACAGGCATGTGGGAGTTGAGGAAGAGGGAGCAGTCAAGGTTGACCCCCAGGTTATGGCTTGAGCAGTGGCTGGATGGGAGTACTATTCCCTGGTAAAGGGAACATCAAAGCTGTTAGCACTCAGTGCTAGGTACATAGTAAGTAGTTCGTGAAAGGTAGCCATGATTACTATCATCAGTTCAGTTTTAGATGTGTAGTGAGTGGAATATATGGGGCTGGAGTGAGATGATCATGAGAAGATTCAATATGATAATGTGCATAGGTATTTGGCACAGAGCCCTGAACACAACAGGCCCGGTAAACATGAAAGTCCCCTCCTCCCATTAAGTCTCATGAGCAGAAAACACTACTAGAGCCCATTTATTACTTAATGCCTTTCAGGGAAGAACTTCAACTAGGGTTAGTATCTGAAGGGAATCAAAGCCCTATTCAAAACAGCTTTCCCATGGTCTCTTTCAGTCAACCTGTTGTATGGCTTGTCTCCTAAGACTGGAAGTGAACTCTAAATACCTTCTTGGTTCATCAGCTCATCTGAACCCCACAACCATTCCCTGAGATAGTATGGGCAGGCATTATCATTCCCGTTTTAAACATGGGTAATCCCAAAAGCAACACAATGAGTTCCTCAAGGTCTTAGTTGGTAATGGTCCATCTGTGCCTGGAACTGAAGTCTTTCTGGCTCCAAAGGCTGGGGTCCTTCCACTGCACCACCATACAGACTACTTTATTGAACACTTCCTATGTGGTGGGCACAGCACCAGGCCCTTTACAAGCATTAATCTCTGATCCTCAGATTGGAATTATCATTGCCAATTTATTATAGAGTGGAAATTGAGGATGGGTGCTCGCTTCCCAGCACATATACTAAAATTAGAATGATACAGAGAAGATCAGCATGGCACCATGTGAAAGGATGACACGTGAATTCGTGAAGCGTTCCATTAAAAAAGTAAACAACAGGCCGAGCGTGGTGGCTCACCCCTGTAATCCCAGCACCTTGGGAGGCCGAGGCGGGCAGATCACGAGGTCAGGAGATCGAGACCATCCTGGCCAACATGGTGAAACTCCGTCTCTACTAAAATACAAAAAATTAGTCGGGCATGGTGGTGTTGCACCTGTAGTCCAAGCTACTCGGGAGGCTGAGGCAGGGGGAATCCCTTGAACCCGGGAGGCGGAGGTTGCAGTGAGCTGAGATCGCACCACTGCACTCCAGCCTGGTGACAGAGGAAGACTCCGTCTAAAAAAAAAAAAAAAGGTAAACAACAACAACAAAAATTGAGGACGGAGTGGGTGCTAAATGACTTGCCAAAGATCACTCAGACAGGAAGAGCAGAGCTAGAATTACTGTGTAGCTCTCCAGCCACTCAATAGCAGGGATTTTGCCAACCCCATTGCGAGACACTGACTGGTGACAGAGGTGGTTCATAAATCTCGATCGACCCAAGCAAACTTAGTTTTAGAAAAAGGCTAGGCTTGGCCAGGCACGGTGACTCATGCCTGTAATCCCAGCACTCTGGGAAGCTGAGGCGGGAGGATCCTTTGAGCCCAGGGGCTCTATATCAGCCTGGCAACATAGCGAGACTTTGTCCCTACAAAAAAAGTGGAAAAAAAAAAAAAATTAACCGGGCGTGGTGGTGTGCGCCTCTGGTCTCAGCTATTCGGGAGGCTGAGGCAGGAGAATCGCTTGAACCTGGGAGTTGGAGTCTACAGTGAGCTATGATCGCGCCACTGCATTCCAGCCTGGGCGACAGAATGAGACCCTCGTCTCAATCAGAAAAAAAATTAAAAGGCTGGGCCGCGCCTGCGCATTAGCCATAGGGGCGGGGAGGTCACCGCGAGGGCGAGAGTGCTGTGTCGCCAAAGAAGGCGTGTCTGTTTCACAAACCACCACTGTCCCCACGGTGCCTGTCGGTCTCAAGGTTGGTCGGTATGACGGGAGTGAAGGCGTCTCTTAACCAATCACCGCAGAACTTAAGCTGTTGCCGGGGTGAAGCGGTGTTCACCTCCCCCGGAAGGGTATCTGCAGGTGGGTGGGATCGGAAGTGACGCTCAAGAGGAATGCTATGCTCTGGACTATTGCTGTTTTCCTGTCAGTCCGGCTGACAGCGTTCAAGTTGGAAGCCTGGAGGGGAGGCGTTTTTCCTTTCGTACGTGGAACAGGCCACGCTGTCCGTCCACAGTAACGACGCCTGCGAGTCAGAGCTTCGGGGAGAAAAGTAAAGAGCAAGACGGGACCGACAGGGAGAAAGGCTGGGAACGAGGGTGTCGACTTTGACTGAAATTTGAGACGGAGGGCACCGGAGGGCAAGCACTCGCCTCTGATTGGCCCGTGGGCGTCGTCGAGGACCCACGCAGCTGCTCAATTGGTTGGTGTTAGCAATTGTTGTGGCGGCGGCGACGATTTTGCCCACGTACTTCCGAGCGAGGGGCGGGGCTGTGCCCTGGCGCGCGTGCGCAGCGCCCCGGGGCCCCACCCGGTAGTGCAGGAACCTGCGAGGGGGCGGAGTGAAGAGGTGCTTGTTTTGGTTCTGTTTCCTTTGAGGCAGAAGGCCGGAACAAGCGTAGCAATAAGCTTGCTGGACTTGGAAAGAAAGCTACGACAAACTCGCCGCACTGCCTTCATCTTGGACTTCACATCCGGGTTTTCCTCCCGGCGTGACCCGCGCGCCGCCGCCGCCGCCGCCGCCGCCACCGCCACCGCCACCGCCACCGCCGCCGCCGCCGCCGCCGCCGCCGCCGCCGCCGCCGCCGCCGCCGCCGCCGCGGGTTCTCGGACCGGTGCCGCGATCTCTTTATCCGGGTCTCGCCGTTCCCGTCGTGCTTCGCACACTACACCAGCCCCCTCATCCGGGTTTTCTCCCGGCGTGCTCTGCGCCGGGTTTGCTGGGGGGTACTCGGCGGTGCAGCCATGACTATACTCCCGAAAAAGAAGCCGCCGCCTCCCGACGCCGACCCTGCCAACGAGCCGCCGCCGCCCGGGCCGCTGCCCCCGGCGCCGCGGCGCGGCGGGGGCGTGGGCGTGGGCGGCGGCGGCACGGGCGTGGGCGGAGGCGATCGCGACCGTGACTCCGGCGTGGTGGGGGCCCGTCCTCGAGCTTCGCCACCGCCTCAAGGCCCGCTACCAGGACCACCGGGCGCTCTTCACCGCTGGGCGCTAGCAGTGCCGCCTGGTGCAGTGGCGGGCCCCCGGCCACAACAGGCTTCTCCACCTCCTTGTGGGGGCCCAGGTGGGCCCGGCGGCGGGCCCGGTGACGCGCTGGGCGCAGCGGCGGCGGGTGTGGGTGCCGCGGGCGTGGTGGTGGGTGTGGGTGGTGCCGTAGGCGTGGGCGGCTGCTGCTCCGGGCCTGGGCACAGCAAGCGGCGACGTCAAGCTCCCGGGGTTGGCGCGGTTGGAGGGGGTAGTCCCGAGCGTGAGGAGGTCGGCGCAGGCTACAACAGTGAGGACGAGTATGAGGCTGCTGCAGCACGCATCGAGGCTATGGACCCCGCCACTGTCGAGCAGGTAAGAGCTGTGGGGTGATGGGTGGGCAGCTACAGTAGATGGGACCCCACACTGTGAAGATACTCGAAGGCTGTTTGAGATCGCCCCAAGGGATCTAGGCCTTTTCACTAGGCCTGACAGTCTTCTCTCGTGGTAGGGGTGTGAGACACCTTCTTTCCTCCCCTCTAGGGATTTGGGGCTAGAGGCCTACGATGAAGTGGCAGACTTAAAGGTGGGATCCAAGGCCTCTTTTAGGGTCTGTAGTCGTCATTCCAGCTCCTGGGACCTCATCTTGTAGGGCCAGTAGGTGAGAGTTCTCCAAGAGACACAGGTAGGATCTCGCCCCTCTTGAACAGGAGTCTCAGGTTTCCCAAGAGACTTAGGTCTGTGTTCAGTGGCTTAAAAGGTCTTTTTCTCTGGGATACAAGTTTGGGATTAGCCCTCCAGGGAAATCAAAGTAGAGACCTCAGAGAAGGGATATGAACATCCGCAAGGAGCCTTAAGCCCCTTCAAGAGTCTGAGACACTGCATATAGGACAACCCTCTCCACTTTGCTGGGTAATAGAACACAGGACCACTGAATAGCCAGACCTGAGAGCTCAAGGGTCCTAACTCTGTCTTCAGGGGCCTGAGAGTCCCTCTAGAATCAGGGTCCTGATAAACACATAACATCCTCTTTAATACCCTGGGGAGAGGGATCTTCTAAGCTTTTTCCAGGGATATAAGACTTTTTGCAGGGAGACATGGGCAACATAGGATCCCAGAGATGATGTCTGGGGCCTCCCTGTGGATCTCTGCCTACCGTTAAGGGCCTGAGAGCCACTCTATCAAGGACATTTGAGCTTTCTTTCAGGGACAGGAGATTCATACATACGCTGGTGACTTCTGTGTCTAGAGGTAAGGTCTGAGCTTCTTTCTCAAGAAACTTGAGATGTTCCCCTGAGAAACAGGAGGACTCCTCCCCCAGACCTGACCCCTGAGACCCTTTTCTTGGGGCATGGATAAAGGATCCCTGTGGAACGGGGTCCTGAGTCTACCCCCAAGGGTTTGAATCCTACCCCAGGTGTGCAAAGGCCTGTTCCCCACCTTAGGAGCTGATTTCTAAAACTACCCTGAGGGTACTGTCACCTCACCTCAGACAACATACATACACCCCAGTCATAGGTGTCATTTAGAGACATAAGGTTTGGGCCTCAGATTCCAGCTCCCCTTGGAGATATGAATAGAGTAGGATTCTGAGGAAAAGAGTCTGGGGCCAAACTTTTGCTCTGGGACAAGAGATCCTTTGCCTTAGGGACTGGGGCCTGGCTCTCACTTGGGCATGAGGCTCTCCTCCTACCACACTAGGCAATCCTTTCTGTCCAGGGAGAGGAATGTGAGGTCATCCTCTCCCATTGGACAGATGGACTTGGATGCTCTTCAGGGTTATATGAACCCCATATTCTGAACCCCCTTGTGGCCAGGGCCAAGAAGGTCCTCCTCCTTTCTGTGAGAAGATTGTCAAGTCCTCGGGACATGGAGTGTGGAGCCTCTCCTCTGAAACCAAGAGTGATTTCGAGTCTCTCCCTGACCCAGCTATGCTTGCTTCTCACCTCTAGGTCATGTAATAAGTTCTGAACTGCTTTTGACAAGCTTTTTTCTTCCCAGAGACAGAAAAGGGGTTTGGGACATTGCCACTCTGGAGAAACTCTCCTCCCATATTCCTTTTCCCTTCGGCTCAGGTAAATCTGTAATTCACAGGGGCCTGCAAGCCTTGTCTTGAGCCCCTTGTTCTTGTTCCCTTCCTCCCATCATTCTGGCACGATAAGCCATCTGTACTCAAGGGTCAGGACCAGTTATTTCTTCTCTGTCTGGTCAGGTAGTTTCTCTCCTTCCACAGAAGCAGGGAGCGGTACATCACGGGTCCCAGGGACAGAGGAAGAACATCCTGTGCTGGCATGAGAACTCAAAAACACTTCCTTACTCCCCCTCCCTTGATATACATCCCTGGTTCCAGGTGCAAAGAGAAGGAACATCTTGTGCTGCCATTGTAACTCAGAAACACCTCCTTACGCCCCTTACAGTCCCTTATACTTGTCTTTACAAGAACGTAGGAGTAAGCTGGGCATAGTGCTGTGTGCCTGTAGTCCCAGCTACTTGAGAGGCTAAAGCAAGAGGATCACTTGAGCCCTGGAGTTCAAGACCTGCTTGGGCAACATAATGAGACTTCATCTTTATTTAAAAAACAAAACGAAACAAAAAAAAAAAAAAAAAAAAGGGCTGGGCATGGTGGCTCATGCCTGTAATCCCAGCACTTTGAGAGGCAAGCAGATCATCTGAGGTCAGGAGTTCAAGACTAGCCTGGCCATCATAGTGAAACCCTGTCTCTACTAAAAATACACAAAATTTGCTGGGTGTGGTGGCACGCGCCTGTAGTTACAGCTACTTGGGAGGCTGAGGCAGGACAGTCGCTTAAACCTGGGAGGCG